TATAGATAAGGAGTTGGTATAATCCAGGAGAGACATGGGATACACAGTTAGTACAATAGCATCAACTTATGAAGAATGTAGAGCAGAATGTGTTGGTATATACCTCTCCACTGACAGGAATATATTACGGTAAGTATAGGTGTGGTCTATATTATCTATGGCTCCGCCTATTTCTAGTATATTTGGTTATGAAGGAGCTGAAGCTGAAGACATAATGTATGTGAATTGGTTGAGCATGTTGAGGGCAGGACTTATAGCATTAGAGTTTTATACACCTGAAACAAAGAAATGGAGACAAGTATGTTACTGATCTAGACACGACTGCTCATTATTGCACATTTAGAAGGATACAGGCATGTATATGTATAATTTATATATGTATATTATAATGTATAATGTTGTTCCACCCACCACTCATAGGCTCACATGCAGGCCCGTGATGTTATATTGCGTGTATTGATGGATTCTGATACTCCTGTATTTAATATTGAGAGTGTTACTGGCTCTGATGGTAAGCCTGACCTCTTGATCAGGTTTGATAGGAATAAACTGGAGACCATTGCTAAACCTATCATTGGAGAATTCTTAAATAAACTGCAGGTATGTAGTTTATGCATGTAAATGAATTTTGGTACATAATCATTCCTTTGCCTGTTTGTTTGTACTCCATTATTGTCCATTGTTTACATGATAAAAAGTGACTAGGGTACATTATTCAAACATAAGTTATATATGTATTTGGTTTCATTGGCAATGTCCATCACTCAATGCCAATACTGTATTGTATAGCCAAAAAATTTCTTGAGGAATAAATTTTCATATTTTCGTGATCACTGTTTGCATCACGAAAAATTAAACCCCCGAAAATTAATATTAATCGAGAGGCGTGGTTAACCACGCCTTAATAATAAACGTGCCCTCGTGCCAAGTCGTGTTCTCGGTCAAGCTGATGTCTCTGTTACTCTGTATTGCTATTTTAAGCATACTGCCTATGTCAAAGATGATGATCTTCCCCATCTCTGGTGTCCACACTGATTTGTAGACATGGTGCCCCTTGACACAAGAGTCCGTCTCAAACATTGAATCTGCCATGTTTTAATTAAATAAGGTGTGGTCATTATTATTATTAAAATAAAATCACAAAAATATTTATCATGGAATTTAAAATTTCTCCATAAATTTCATTATTCACGAAATTTTAAGCCTCGAAAATTTTTGGCTATACGGTATGCTATTATAATAAAGCTGTTTCTTTTTCTAGATCTACAAGTCTACAGCAGATGTTAGCTCAGGACAGTTATTGTATAATAAATATTCAACTGTTACTGATGATCATTTGATGTTGAGAGATATTGTAATGGCTAGGAAGATGCCTAGAAGGTTATTTGTACAGCCACACACTTCAATTGATACTGGTAAGCAGGGGATGGGGGATGAGGGATGTTCTCAGTCTTATACCTTGTAAAAATAAGGTCCATCATTAATTGACCTGCCTGACCAATGGGTTGGTTTATTACCCGAGCCACGCGTAGGCGTGAAGCGAGGGTAAAGCAGTCGTTTTGTGTGTGTGTGTGTGTGTGTGTTCGCTTGACCTCCACTTTTGAGCTGACACTGCTTTCTTGTGAAATCCTGGATAGTCTTATAATCAAAACTAGCTATAGAAAAAGTTATTCTTTGTCTGGAAAATGGCTTGACTCGTCTTCCCGAGGCAGAGAAAGCTCACAATATCGCCAAATGTAGTCGGTACAAATATATCTTTTTCGTGGTGAAAGCTAAAAAGCAGCAAGACAAATGAAGCAATAGAACAAAGGCTCATCTTTAAATAATATGTAAGAAATTGCTCCAATCGTCTTCGTTTTAAAGATATGATAGCCCAAACTTTCATACCTTGTGAGTTTAGACGAAGCTCTCTTCTCCCGAAGTAGCGGCCAGAGTCTTTAAACACCAGAGACTAGATAGCAGCTTGTGTGCAACAAATAGAGCCTAACAAATGTAAGCTAAACTGTTTAAAAGTCGAGAAAAACTAAAGCTTTCTTCACCACTTATGGCCATGTGCCACCATTACTGTGTGTGCGGGAATTGAGCCACACCTTCATTGCAGCCACACCTTTACATTGCTGCAGCTAGCTATACTATATCCCAGTTGAGTTTGGGACAAGAAAAACTGGAATAACTTTTTATAGGAATGTGGGATAAGGATGAAACTTTCACAGGTTCTTAGTCGCCAAAGTCCATCAAAATCTGTGAAATCTTGGGTCTCTCAGCCCTTGGGAACCCTGAGAACCGGGTTCTCCCTATAAACCCAATGGCATACCAAAATGACGTTTTATGACAATTTATCTACGTCATAGTTTACATAAGAACATGTGGTCGAGCGTGCAAACTGATAATTCTTCTTTTAAAAAGCTAACAGAGCCAGATCTTCTGATAATAATGGCCATTATGAAGACTAGTAGGCTCCAGCAGCTATTGTACTGCTTATCAGCAGCAGTAAGACTGTTTTAAGAGTAAAACAAGACAGCCGCCATGCTTCTATGAATATAATTAAAATACGTCATTTTTGTGACGTAGCTATATTTCGCAGCTGCTTCCACTTCCGTCCCAAACTGAACTGGGATATAGTATAGCATGCAGCAGTGCAGCAAACATGCTGGATCTTCTTCTCTGTCTAGAAATACAAATCAATCTCTGTCTCAAAACATTCACTAGGTTTTACTAAAACTAGTACATGCTGTAGCTTATTCTCAGTCTCAAAACTTTCACTATTTTCTCTTAATTTGTTAAAACTGTTACATACATATTGTGGCGAGGGTACGCACTTTAGTGCTCTCGTTTGCATATTTTTCTATAGTGTATGCCATGAATATTGTTCTGTTTTGCCACTCTGCCTCACTGATTTCTATATCATTCCTTTCATTAGATGGTTCTGTTGTTCTTAATGAGTTTGATAGTTCATTTGAAGGAATCATTTCCTCATTTCTAGCAAGATATCCTAACTATGATACTGAACTGGAGTCTCTTTGGAGAAACGATCAACATTTTTGGAAACAAAAATAGACACAATACATAATACATTTGATACAAAATTAAAGAACTTGTATGTGCATGTATTTGATTCATTGAGTTTGTTGTCACATTGTTTGTTGCATGACATTTCAGTGTTATAAATTTTGAAGATGCAGTGAAGTAATGTGAGACTTGGCCTTTCCAGTGATCAATCGGTTAGACAACACAGTTTTTGCGTATTTTGCTGTGCTGAGATGTAACCTAAATGAAATAGACTACCATAAAATAAATTTTGTGCTGTTTTTCTTCCCAGCTCATGCATTCTCTATTCTCGCTAGCCAGACCATTCCCCAGCCTACAGTAGGCTGGGGGATGGTCTCAAATGATAGCTAGCGAGACTATGGCATTCTCTGAACTGAAGTGTATTACCGTGTGACAATTACGATTTACTTTGCACTAACCATTTCACATTTTCTGTAACAGTAGCTGGTCTCTTGCTCACATTGCACTAAGAACTGACAGTGAGCATCTGGTGGCGGGTCCCTCTTGTACCAGAGAATATCACCATCAGTAACAATAAAGGCGGGTAAGGTTGCTGCTCCTCTTGTGCTCTCCTGCACTGGAGCTCGAGGAGGAGCTGCCACTTGCTCCATTAAAGCTCTTACTCTTCTGAGTAATAATAAAAGTATAGTCGGTTTCAGTTGAGTTTGACCGGATGTTTTCATCATCAAAACGTCACGTGTAGCCCCACCCACACGCAAATAAAATGGCTGAAAATTTCATCATACTCCTTTCTTCTTGTTGTAACTTGTTTATTACCCTATTTTGGTCACTGCTAGCCCTGCAATTGACATGAAGGATCTTTGTGCTTGCTATTACCTGAAGAAAGAATCGAGAGATGCAAAATTTCAACGGAGTTTCTGAGCGGCAATGGTGAAGACAAATAACGAAGGCTTAGAGAGGTACAGCAGACTGAGTGAGACTTCTTCCTGGAGTGCAAAGTCTTCTTGTTCAATTATATCTTGACCTGGAGTGCTCCTTTTGCTTTATTTGATTTTTAAATAATAAAAACATGATTATTGACATATTTAATGAGATGCAAATGATATTCACGAAACTTCACGTCATGAAACATCATGGCGGCTCCCTTTCATGTTGACCGGAAGAACCTTTTGAGAACCTTCCAGAGTACTTAGAGACTCCAAAATTGGTACAGATTTTCGGAAGAACCCGTTTTGCAACTATACCAAGTTTCAAGTTGCTAGCATAAATAATAGAGAAGTTATAAGGGTGGGTCAGTGGTCAAACTCAACTGAAACCGACTATAACAGTAAAAATGTCATTTTAACTTTGTTAAAATACACACTGACAGGGACAGTCAACACTGCAGTGGGACTGGACGGTTTATATGCGCAACAGCCGGAAGGAAGACTGAAGTCATACATATATGGGGCTACCCATAGATAATAGAGTAAATGAAAGGGATTGGAAACTTCCGCGTGGGCGTAGCAATAATCCCATTTGATTGTATTGTTGCTAAGCAAAAAAATTGCTGACTAGGCGGTTTGTTACCTTTTGACCATAAAATTCTTGATTTTTTCCATTAAAATTATAATAACTCCAAGAAGAGTCCTCTGATGAAAAAGAAACTTAACTATCAAGGAGTTCAATGTTTTGCACTGTTAATTATTATTTATTTGGTATATTTAGATTAATATTTTGAGTGTTATAGCGCTTTTGCCCATAAAATTGCTGTTTTCTCCCTCTAATGAAGACAATTGTAGCTAAACTCTAAAAAGCTTGTCAGAATATAAAAGAACTTTCAATTACCTATGGAATGATATGAGGCAACACTAGAATAGCAAAAGCATGAAAGCTGTAGAGGCGAAAAGGTGTCAAAAAAGATGCCGACTTTGTGTACCCATAACTGGTCGAAAAATAGCTCTATAGAAACAAAAACCCTGCTATAGGTAGCCATAAACTTTCTATGTGGAATAGAAGATATATCATAAGCAAGCGAATAAGTGTACAAAAGTGGCCAAACTAGAATCTAGAATTTATAAAGTACATATAGTTAGACAGTAGTCTATCGCCGATACTGATCAACCAAATTGCCAATTTCTGCTCCAGAGTAAAATTGGCAAAAATTGGTCTGTACTTGTGTAGGCGGGACTGACATGCATGTGCACGTGTGTGCGCGCATGCGCAGAAGAATAGCACTAACCTAACGTTTGTCACTTTATCAAGAGTCAATTAAGAAGATCCTCATTCCTCTCCCTCCTTCATCTGCCTTCGCGCTCAGTCTCTTAGTAAGTTTGATCTCACGTCATCATATCAAGGAGTTGTGATGGATTCTGTTCCATTCTTACATGTGGAGTATCTCGTTAAGACAGGGTTGACATATGATGAAGTTAGCAAGGAGTTGGAGAGAGTTTACCCTGGAGTTAGTGGATTGTCTCCTCGTAGCGTGAGAAGATATTGTAAGGTTAATGGTATCTCTCATTTGAATGAAAGGGAAATCGAATCTTTAGCTACAGAAGCAATAATGGAGGTATCATTTGGAATCAACAGAATTCATTATAATTTCAGTAATATTTTTCTATAGGTGGGGGCATCCTATGGCAGAAGACTCATGAGAGGATATCTATTGTCTAAAGGATTTAGGATTTCTGAAAGAAACATATCTTCTGCATTGAAAGTAGTGGATCCCATTTCATATTTCCTTTTCTTAACTCCTTTCTCATTGCCTTTCTTCTCCTCTTTCTCTCAGACACTCCTCCTAGTC